TATATTTTGGATCAGTTTTTTAAAAATAATTGTCTTAACTTTGTGCTGCTATACCAAAATACCATAGACGGTAATTCACAGAGAACAGAATTTTTTTTTTTTTTCCTCACAGTTCTGGAGGTTGGGAAGTTCAAGCCATAAAATCCAAGCCAGCAGGTTGTCTGGTGAGGGCTGCTCTCCATTTCCAAGGTGATGTCTTGTTGCTATGTCCTCTGGAGGGGAGGAACACTGTGTCCTTGCACGGTGGAAAGCAGTGTCCTCTGCAGGGGAGGAACACTGTGTCCTTGCACGGTGGAAAGCAAACAAGCTGAACCCTTGTGAAACCTGTTTTATAAGAGCTTTGATCCCATTCGCAAGGGGAGGAGCCTTGGTGACCTAATCACCTCTTAAAGGCCCAACCTCCAAACACTGCCACAGTGGCCATTGAGTTTCAGCATCTGCATTTTGGAGGGAACACATTCAAACCAAAGCAGTAGCCCTGAATAACAAAGGCGTTTTCCTACCCTGTAAATGCCAGAGCTGCTATCTGAATAATGCGATTGGTAATTGCGTCACATAGAACCAATAGAGATCAGCAACCTCAGCCTGGCAGGATCTCTGAGATATTTCTTCTCCATGACCTTTTGACTTCAGATCCCAGGTCCCTGACCTTCAGCCTCCCTGTGAAATATATCAGTAAGATCTTGGTGCTTATGGGTCTGAGTTAAAGCTGGTGTGCACATTTCCTTCTTTTCTCTGCGTGTTTAAACCCATTTCTTCTTATGCACTTATTCACCATAGAAACACCTAAAACATTTTTTTCAAATCTAGGCCAAGCATTCTGGAACATGTGATTGCTAGCATTATACCTATGAAAGGAAAATTTATAACACGCAAACAAACTGCCTTGTTGAATGATTTCATTATATGCTTTGCTTGTATGTTTTTGTGGAGGTGTTTCTATTTCTGAATCACGGAGTCAGCTCAGACTCCACTGCACCCCCTTGGGTCCCCAGATTCTGTTAAATCACCCACATAACCTTTCTTTTACCAAGTCCTTCTTTTCTGTTGATATTGCCACCATCCTACCTCAAGTCTTTTTGCCTCTAGGGTCTGTTTTCCAATGTTCTTGGTTTTCTATTCTGATGAAATATCCTCAGCCCGCTTTGATAGTGCCTCACTGCTGGCAAGGGAAGTCCAGAGTTCTAGCTTTGTGCGTGTGCCTCTGCACAGCCTGGCCTCCAGTGCACCTCCTTCCCCACTCCCCTCCTCTGCTGGCCGGACCAGCATGCTCACTGCCCCTTGGCATTCAGCCTCCCATCCCATCACCAGAGCAAGCATCCATCCCTTCCCTTGTCCCAGGATCCCATCATCTCCAGTGGAAACCCGCTGAAACTCTGCCACTCCACTGATCACTGTGGTCCCGGCTGCTCCCAGAGCACACATTGTCTGTGCCCTGGTCAGGTGGCTGTCACACGCCTTTCTGTATCATGATTTCATTTGCTTCACCTGCAAACTACATGCTAACCAAGGGCAGGGACTCACTTTGGACTTCTGCAGATAGCTTACGGGGCCGGACCCGGAATCCAGCATCTCATAGGTGCACCTTCCCCTCACCTTCTCACTCCGATTCCTGCTTTAGTCCTCACAGTCCTTGGACACACCTGATTGCTGCTTCATTTTGGACTGTAATCCTGGTCTTTATTTTTGACAGTCCTATCAAAAAGATGACTGTCTTTTTGTCCTGTCAAGACCACTACCTCCAGGCCCTCTTCTCTCCCCATCCCTGCTCTACACCATAAAGTGGATGGAAGGCCACACCCTTGGAGAGTCTCCCAGCAGAAGTGAGCTTGACCAGTTCTCCTTGGAGCTATACTCCAGCAAGAAATCACGAGTTTTATTCTGTATTGCAGCTGGGAGGCCTCCAGAAACAAAACCAGGCCCGCAGTCGGCAGCCCCACAGAGCTGTGAGACTGCCCTGTAAATATTTATCTGGAAGTCCCCCATTACAAGCGCTTCCTCATGCTCTCCTTAGTAAGCTCTACTTCATTTTGAAATATCCGAGTGACCGGGGCAGCTACCTGTCATGGCGTAATGACGCGCCGCTTTCTCTGCTGTTGTAGAACTGAAATTTTCTTTGCTTCTTCTAACTGACGTGACAGACATCCAGTTTGTGGAGTGATTATTAGTGTAAAATCACTTTTTGACCTTTAAATTTAATGATGCCACATTCATAGCAATAATATAACACCCCAAATCCAGGTGTGCTTTTCAAGGAAAGTGACCAGGGCAATTACCCTCTGATAATGGCATCCTGCACTTACGCCCTTTGTCTGGGAATCTTAAAGTTATTTCTACACAAATAGATAATGATGTTCATTTTGTAAGGGGTGAGAGGTAACGTGATGAAGAAAAATCCAGGACCCAGGTGTCTCCTTTGTTGTTCCCCCTTCTGCTCCCTTTTCAGCCTTTTTT